TTTCGTTATTTTCGCGGTAACCTTACGCTGACAGTGTAAGTACCTGTCGTAGCATGCACTCAGGATATAAAGTGTAACGTGCAAAACCTGCCGGTCGTACGACGTGCGGTACGACGGGTTTGCAAATGCGGTGCGGGATCCGAGGCGCCATAATTTAGTCCTCGGGGCGGCAATCGTAAATCCGCGGAATGTCAAATTTTTACACCACGGTAAACCGTTAAGTAGCATCATTCTTATTATCGTTACGTACTTTCTTTTCTTATAACTCAGCGGCTGTGCAACTAAATGAAACTAGATGATGGAACACTATGTGACTAAATTAAAATTCATTGGACGAAAACAGTTTGACTGGCCAGATTTGGAAGCGAGGATTCTTATGAGTCAGCTTTACTTCGAGGCAAGGAGCCTTAGGATGCTTAATCCTTTTTAGATCCATTCTTTGATCTTGAAAGCGTTCGCCGGATCTGTCGGCTCAACTTTTAAACTACAAAGAAACGAAACTTGGAGTTAGGCAGATGAATCAAGATGAAACGTGGGATGGCAAGATTTTTAGAAGGTACGATTCCCGGTGTTAAAGTAACAAATTAAAAATTTCGCAATCCACGCTGAAACATGCAACCGATCTAAAATGCCCTAATGATCGTGTTGGCCAGCTTGAGAAACGCTCTCAATCGGCGGCCGGAATCGGTCTGGATAATAAGTGGCTTCTAAAAGGGCTACGGCGCGCGGCGCGGCGCCGTGTTCGCGAAAGTGGCTCGAATAAGATCGATACGTAGGCGAATTTCGCCAGATCGAATAATAATCGTCGTCGTTACACTGGCTGGTTCTTCGATTAACCCGGATAACCTCGCTGGGTCCCCAAAGGATCGTGATAATACGATCTCCCGCGCATTTATCTATCGTCAATTCGTGGTGCGGCGTTCGTGGCGAGCACTCCCTCTTGCTCAACGAGCGAACCAGTGATTCACGATTCGTGTTGCACGTTACGATTTCAGACTGATACACATGCAACCGATACACATGCAGAACGCTGTTTTTACAGGTACGTCTTACGACACGTTAATCCGCTCTCTAATTACCTACACTTCCTTCCACATATCCAGGATGCTTGTCCTTACAGTTTCGTCCGATGACATAAAAATTCTAATCATCATCGATCTGGATGTTATCGACGAAAGAAGACGTTACGGAGCTGTCAATTTTCTTCACGACGAAGGAATCCCTTTTTTCTGTGCGTAGATGATAATGCCCGGGGCAACACTATTGATGAGTGATATTATACGAATGCCTCGTTTCCTGCAGTTAGAAACGGTGGTTTACGTTTACAGTTGTGTAACAGTAGGTTTATGGTAGCTAGAATACTGGGTCGTTGCCAGTAACTTCTTACCGACAAATATTTGCATGGTCCACCTGTTGAATTTCAGTTTTAAATCTAGCTGCGAGCTGAAAGTTTCGCTGTCCGTTTGTTCGTATGGCGTGTCTGCCTCTTGCACGCGATGAAAATTTTGCTCACTTGGGAAAAGCCAATTCTGTTCTATGTTAATGTAAATTAGATTGCAACGACTTGAATGTGCAAAAAATTGCAGCAATCCAACCAGTAGATGGTTCCTTGTTCCTTCTACTCATCAGAACTTTTTTCCGCAGATTACCATCTACGTAGTGGTTCGCGTAACTTTCTCGAAGAAAAGTGACTACTTACCTAAGAAAGTGTGGAAAATTTATCGAGGTAGATTCGTCTGATTTTTGCAACAGAAGAGATTGGCAAAAGAATAAACTCTACCTGTTGCTAATGATCGAGGTGTCGATGCGATATAAAGCCAACATGAAAAAGAAATCTTTATAAAAACGTATAAATTGAAACAAGAATTTGCATTATCAAACACTGGCGTTTCGCTTTCCAAAGCAACTATTCAGCCTGATTTTCCGCGTATACATTGGAACACGCATGAAACAGTTGCCAGCCCGAAGCGGTCGATTCATGAACGAAGCCAAGAGTCGTTACAATTATTGCGCAGTGTAACGTGTCGGTCCGACGTGCAGAAAGCGTTCAAAGTTTAAACGCACCGCGGGGGAGTGACTCAGAGGCAAGCTATCTCATAGAGCAGCTAGACATGCCTGTTCGTTGCCCGGCAATTACGATTTGTGAGGGTCGAGCGCGTTCACACGGGAGGGGTTGCTTGCGAAATAATAAACGTTAGTTCCTTTATCGATTCCGAGCACGATAGCGCTATTGGAAGAGATCCAAGAATAGTCGTGAAACCATTGACATTGCCGTTCACTTGCTCGCTTTTATTACGCCGCATTTCGTAGATCGAAGAATCCTGTAGTCGGTCGTCTTCTCATTTATAATATTTGCGTACATACATTGTATAATATAAAGAGCTTAAATGGTTGAATAAATACGAATTCAGAAGTACGAAAGGTCATTGTACTCGGTGCACAAGACGCGTTTATTTACCTTTATCCAAACACACTCCATCTTTCACGGCTTATTTAAGTAACAAGTTCACTGCATTCGTTCCACGGATTATTCTCCTGTCCCGGCAGGGTACTCCTGTCGGGCAGCGGTTGAAGCTGTCGAGCAAAGGACATTGTTACGGTGACGCATAGTTTGCACGGTGTAATCGTCCGCGCACCTGCAAGACTCACGAAAACCGTCTCTGAATGGTACACGGTTAAACAGCGGTTTTCTGCTCTTTCTGTCGTTCGATTCTTCTTGACTTTCCGACGCGCGGTGTAGGATCATCAGTGTCGACCACGAAACAGGCAGACCAGTATGAATGAACGTCAGGAACCGAGGGCCCTTTTTAAGGGTGCTCACGTGCCAGTCACGTGAGGTGGGCACGCCCATTGTCTCGCAGAGAATGCACGCTTGTATGCATATGCTGCGAACAGGCGCATAGTGACACGCACAGAGGACACGTTGCACACATTCGCGCTATATTTGTGAGGTACGCGTATTTACGTGTGTCTGACGGCGTGGCGGCACGACGTAGGTTACGAGAACGGTGGCTGAATATTAAAGAAGGGAAGAAGTAAAAGGCGATAGGATGTGGCGCGAGGTACAGACACAGCGGAAGTGCCGTGACACCGGCGCTAATCGCGAAAGAGAACCATTTTGCTGGGGTGTGTTTCTTCGTCGTAAGCGGTTCCCTTTTCAGTCGACGATCGAACAAACGCGTGGCTCGACGTTCGATGTTCGATGTTTCAAGCATGTCGCCGTGTTTCAAGGCAGAATTCATGATACGCAAGGGCTGCACGTTCACGTATTAAAAATTCAAGAGTTAATGGCGTCGACGAGGTTCGCGTTGCCTCCTACATCCCGAAACATTTGGCATTTTTTATGCGCCGTCTACCAGCTCTCCGAGCAGTTCTCCATATTTCTTTTCGCCCTTCGCCGTTATATACGTTCTTCTGCCGTTTCGTTCTCGCGCGTATCTGGAATTTAAAGAGGGAATTATTGGAGGCATTCGAAGAATTATCGCGGTTTGTAGCGTTTCGTGTCACGTTTCGCGATATTCCTTTAATTTTTCCACGCCCGATCGAGCACAGAATCGTTCAACGACTCTGAAAATTTATCGCCAATCTCTCTGCCTCTTCCTTTTTTCCTTTACGTTCGTCTCGCGAAACATATCATTAGCAGTCGGAAATGTTCGCATTTTAACGTCACTTACGCTGCGGGATACACGCGGTATTAACGTCAGACGTAAGGAAACAGGGAAAAAACATCGATGCTGTAACGAGAATCGAGATAGCCATTGCGAAAGTCAATAACGGGTGCATTTTTATCTGTCCTAATTGTATCGGCGATTAGGTCTCGTTAACAAGAGTGCCTTGAAAACGTTTTATCGGCTGATAAATCAAACGGCCCGGATGTGTAATGTATAGGGATGGTAATACAGTCGCGTAATGTGCAGCAGCGAATGGGAAGTCGAGTTGGCCAGCATTGAAGTGAAAACAAACGAATGTAAACAGGAGAGGGCACGTGTGGAGCGGGGGCATCGAGCCTTCCGCTTGTTTAGCTCTGTTTGTTTTGGCTGCGCCGTGAGACACGCTGATTCGTTTTAACTCTTTCCTCCATTACGACCGGCTCGCGTTATATTGCTTTTTAAACGCCCGTTTTTTTCCATTTCTCCTTCGACTCCCTCCAAACCATTCGCGTCACCGGTTTACGATGTCACGGCGGGGAACAAAGATCGTTTCTTAAGAAATTAACCTTTCTGTTAAGCGTCGCATACGATTTATAAAAGCGACGTTCGTCCTGAAAACGTTATTCGCGGAATAACGTAAAGAAATAGAGAAAAAAGTTAATTTAAAATCGCTGTGTTTCTTGATTAATAACTAATAGTAGAATTATACGGTATAGTAATTAAATGGTAAAGAGTCTGAGTTGTTTACCGCCTATATGCCTCGGCAGATGTCAGTATTACCATGAATGATTTCTTTTTTGTTTCTTCTTTTTTGCGTGACAAACAGCTGTTAGTGGTTTCTTTATGGCGTGTTACCAATCATGGTGCCTGGTATCTTCTTCGAAATGGAAATATTCCTTAAACATGAATTTATAAATCAATACAGATATTAAGGCAAATTACATTAAGTTATAGTATCGATTTATTGATTAAATCGTGGCACTCGTCCTTATAATACTGCCAAACTACGATATTTCAAATATTTAATACATTTTAAATTGAAGTGTTTAGGGATTAAGATGGATTAATATTAAGCAACATAAAATAAAAGTATAAATAAAAGCACCATGATACCAGAGTTCAGCGAACTCGAGATTTCAGGGACATAGACCTCAGGAGCACACCCTCTATTTCCATTAAACGTGGTGTCGGGTGGTTAAAGACACGCCTAAAGTTGCGCTGAAACGCGATTCAGGTATATATCGTTCCGTAGTTCCGGCGTTCCGAACGTTCCGTTTCATCGTTCCACGGTTCGAGCGCGAGAGTAGGTAGTTGCGTGTGTCGTGTCAGTTATATCTCGGCAGCGAGAGCCGTCAGGCATACGGGTGTTTTGACGCGCGTCGTTCGTTCAAAATCCTCGTGCATCCTGCTGTATCAATACCAACAAAAACTTTCGACGGAATCTCAGTGATTGCAACCGTCCTGATTGTCGAACGTTGCCATCGTAGTCTTGTGTGATTTTCCTTTGGAGTTACCTCTCGTACAGAGCGTAGTTTCGAGAGTGTTTATATCCTTCGAGGACGACAGAAAGTCTCATTGGTTCGTCGATTAAATCATGACAGTCGCTTCCTTGTATTCTGGTCTGACGACATTTCTCGTGACACTGCGTGCAACTGATTCATTTTCACCTGTGTACAGGCGTGCATCTTTCCTGCAAAAACGAAGGATTTCAAGGTTAAGTTTATCCCCTGACACGTGATTATATATATGTGTTGAATCGGATGCCGTACCGTGGTTTCGTATAAATCAACGAATACGCGCAGCGGCGATTTCGATCGACCGAGTGAACACTGGCTTTGATGTTTATCGATCATACCGTGCGTGTCGATAGTATTGGTGGCGTGCATGGCCGGACGCAATTACAATCGGGACATTATAATGAATTATGCAAGAGATCGAATTGCGTCGATTCGAAGATTATCAGCTTTCGCTGTTCTGCATTTTTCTGTTAATGCATGGATCGCGTTCATTTATTTTTCGTGACGGCTAGAGAAAACGCGAATTCTTTGTATACGGAAAATTATCGTAAAATGAATGTAATATCAGATACGGGAATAGAGAGGTGTTTTATAAAAACGTGTTACGAGGTCAAATCATGGTTATGTTTTTCTCTATCAGAAAATAGTGAAATCTTGGGAACGTTTGAGTAGAAAAATACATACTGTTCCTTTAGAAGTGAATGGTGATTTATCCAGTCGCTCATTATCGGAACGGCATGAAGATTGTCGCATCAATTTGTACGCGAGATGTGTTGCTTCCTCTTGTAACGTACGCGAGACACGTTTCGTTATTTTTCTGCTCGACGATTCTCTCCTCCCTTTTCTTCGCCGTGCTAATACGAGAACCTTGTACAAAGTGAGTATCATTGGTTAAGGTTAAACGGTCGCGGGGTTGTTTCACGCGGGAAAAGTGGCGCCATAGACGAACCACTTTCGAATTCGATATCGACTTTTTACCGCGCAATCGTGTTCCCGCCATTATCCCACGACCGATTCGAGATCGAGATGCGGAGTAATTTCGATAATCGAACGATCGTATCATGGACGGACGTTTGCGAATCCGGACGCTGATGGTGTTAATTTTTGAAATTTTTACGTGAAACGGTGACAAAGTGTGAAAGGTGACGGAATAATCTCGAAGATAACCTCACGAGTGAATCGGAAGTTGGATAATCGTCATGGCTTACGTGCTCTGGCGGGTCTTTATGAAGAAGTACTCGAAGGTGCGGCTGGGGCTCAGGAATCTGCCTGTAAGTGTTGCACGCTTTGTACTTCGTAATTTGGCGCCGTACGCGCGTAGTTTAGTTTACGCGCGGGCGTGTGGTTGTTCACGATGCAAATGATTTGTCCGAACGAAGCAAAACCGCCGTTTGGGATGGGTTTCCATCGACAGCACCGGCGAGAAGTAAACGTACGAACGTTGCATCGTAATTCTCAAGGTCAGGATTTTATGACCGAACTTAGCCGCGCTTCGCGTCAAACGGCCGCTGTAATTGCGGTAGCCATTGAATACGTTATGCAACGAGCCGACCGGAAACCGTACTTGGTATGAAAATTACCACCTACCGGCAGTATCGATCTTTTTTTTCTCCTCGTAACTCTTTCGACCGAAAGCACAGAATACTTCCAACAAAGTTATACATATAAGGGTTTACGTTCGGAACCATTAATAAGACGTAAATTCGTTGCATGGTTGTTGAAGCTTAATAAAAGGAAAGGAACTCAATATAGAATGTTTCAGTTTCATGGCCGCTAGATATTTCTATCGAAATACTGTCCAAAATAATTCAATTTTCTCTCGATTTTCGATTAGCTGAATCGTTGGTTGCGCGCGCATTGTATCGCGACTTAACGGTGAGGTCGTTCCACGTTCGAACGTTTTACCAGAACGAAGGTGCAATTATTAGACGTTGCAACTGTAGCTAATGCGAACACGGTAATTGGATAATTGCCGTAGGAGCCGGCGTAGCAGTTCTAATTTCTTTCTGTACCGTTTCGTGCCGGCCGCGTTGTCGATTTCTATCGATATATCATTATTGTTATTATTTATTTATGGCCTGTAAGTCCTATAATATACATTGTATATTACAAGATGAATATCGTTATCTCGATCATCATCATGATCGATTGGATGCGTGCACAATTCATTGGTTCATTGATTTTTCATCGAAGTAGGATTCGTTCGCCGTTCGCAGCGTAACGAGGACTAGATCTCCCATTTCTATGCTTTTTTTCCTTCGTGTCTGCTCAATTATCGATACTTGTTGTCTAATTGATAAACAATATGACCGCGTCTAATTTGTCGACAGATCTTTTTATTAAATTTTATCGCTAAACACGGGTTAGCAATGAACACGGCAGATCCAGCAAGATGTGTTAATCAATCAGGAAAAAGATGGCTGGTCTGTGTACCGTACCTATAGACACGCCCTGTTAATAAATTTCGTACAGCGGAAGGGAAACACGTTTGGGTTGGGGGTGCGCGCAATTTACGACTTGTCGGATTGGATTACTTTGATGCGTAAGCACGGAGATCTACCGCACGGTTATGCAAACGATTGTTATACCCTGATGTAACGGGGGTTCGCATTGAGCGTTAAGTCTCGGTGGAATAAGTATGTAGATATTCCGATTATACAGTCAGTCGTATATTTCGATTCCCGTCGTTGTAATGGATTTTAACCAACTTCTTAAACATTAAAATTGAAATGCGTTTAGGTGAACGAGTAGGCACTAGAGTGAAATGGGAGTGCTTTAATTCTTCGGTAGTTTCTGAGACATTACGGTCAAAAGTTTAAATCTCTGAAATTATGTTATAATTGTGGATCTAATTGAAAATCGTTGAGATGCTTCAAGTGAAATAATGCTAATATCTATCGCTAGAATTGGATTAATATCATTAGCAAAGTTTTGCACAATAGTACATATTAAGTTTAAATGAGGATCAAATTATAACTCAGGCTCACCACCAGGGAGACGCATCGTCACTTTTGTACGCGCTGGAGACATCAATGGTGTGAATGGAAAGTTCAACGTGTATCTATTATTAGATTCACACGGCACTGAATGTGTCAAGGGTTAAAATTAGAAACCCGATAATATCGTTTCTAATGTTAACAGCTCTCCAATTCATCCGATTTATGTCTACGTCAATCTTTACCCCCTGTTCCACACGAAGAATCCAGCGAATTCAAATCCGCCTCTTCGAATCGTCGCAAGAACACATCGCGTCTCGAGAACCGCGTCGACTCGCAGTCAGTCTGTTTCCTAGAAACTCTCGTATTGTAATTATCGAGAGGGAGAGAGAAAAAAAGGGACGGCGCTTTTGCAAAGTCCCGGGTCGNNGGGTCGGTGGCTCGAGGGAAGGGGGGCGGAGGGGGAGTCAGCATCTTAATAAATTAAACGAATCGGTCCGCTGGAGGAGGTGGGAGGTTCGCGAGTACAGCTAGGGTAGACAAATGGAAGAGTAGCAACGTGTAGAGACGAAGATCGGTTCGAGAGGAAAGAAAGGAGCGGTAGGCGGTCGGAAACCGGGGGGTTAGGGTGGACTAGGGGATGTCGAGGGGCGGACGGGGTGCAATTCAGTTTGCGGTCGCCGAGTCAGGTTACGTTAGGTTAGTCCAGCGGTTGGTCCCCGTGACCGTGAACCGCGGCTGACCTGCGACACAAACACACAGAGTCTCTCTTTCTCTCTTCCCTCCCACCTTCCATAAATCTACCTGCACTACATCGCGTCTCGTTCCACAGCCTGGCGAACCGCTCCGTTCACCTCTCTTTTCTTCTCTCTCGCCTTGCATTGTGCGCTCTTCGGGATCTCAGAGTGATAAATACGGCCGACCACCCCTCTCCCATCCCTATATCTCGTTATCTGTCCTCGTCTGGCCCTCGAACAACTCGCGAAACCGGCGTGAACCGTTTCCCCGTTTTATCGTGCTTACCAGCAACTCCGGAGCGGGACATCGTCGCGTGGGTGTGTTGATCTATTTCGATTTTCGCCGTCGTACGTTTTAAGCTTTTTCTCGAAGACGATCGCCTTCTATTGTCATTATCGTTCTTGACAATTGCGTGGAATATCGAGGATGTGTGTGTGAGAGAGAGAGAGAGAGAGAGAGAGAGAGCACAGTGGCCCTTCATGTATTGAACATGTCGGGGGAGAAACAATTTATGCGACTGAAGTTCGTATGATGGAAGTTGGCCAATTTTCTCCATTACCTATCATCCTTCGTTCGCATAATAGGATTTCGCGATCAGATAATCGAGCATTAACTAAAATTTCGTACCAATAGATATAGCTTTACAATAGATAGCTTGTATGCGTGTACGTGGATTTAAATTGCGCGTTTGAAGCGCTTTGTAAGTACGCGTTCGAGAATTACTTGAATTACACATATTTCCATATGTGTATAAAATAGAAACTCTTTCTCTCGGAGCGAGGAAGAGTATCAAAGAAAGTTAATAAATTCTTAAAGACTTTTACTCGCGTTGATCGTCCTCGGAGGCTGATGGAAACGACGTTGAAAATCGTTGCGATTCAAAGGCAGTTTTATCTGAAACTCGTTAACGCAGCATTTTCTCCCGTTACTCGCGCTATCGCAATGTTTTGCACATCTCATATCGTGGTTCGCAGTCACGACCGCGGATCGGAACAAGAAACAAGAAGAAAAGGAGGAGACTTCGGTGGCGTCGGTAATCAAATCGTTGTTTTCTTTCCTAGCAGTGTTAATTTAATTTGCTTCGTTCGTATCGGCTCTTGCCCACGCTCTTCAACTTCTTCGTTTTATCGGAAATAATTTGTTCCATTATCGAACGGCGTACTTGAATCGAAAGTGGAAACACCGAGAAGAATGTTTGCTTTGAACGAATGTAGGCGGACAGATTGATCGATGACTCTTTAATCGCTATTGTTAACGTTCATGGCCGTTGCAAATCGGATCAGCCATGTGAGATACGATGTTGCAGTTGAACGAACGAGCTTCTCTCCGTTCTCTTCCTAATATTATACTTGTTTTCAGTTATATAAGGTGTTATAAAAATAGGCTGAAAGACTTTGTGTGGAGATTTATAGTACGTTCCGAGAAAAATATTTGCTTGATTTTAGGATCTCCGTTTAACGAACATATTTTACTCCTCTTGGCGATAGCTATAGGCTTACGAAGATCTAGATCATTTTTTTTCTATAACATCCTGTACGTTCTCTTAATTCGGTTAAAACGCTATCACGTACATCCTCTTCCGCGTGGATCTTATTATGTTACGTTCGAGGCGCTCATTCATCGTCCCTGAAATTAAATAGAAACGAAACGAGCTACGTTCCATCGTACGATACTGTTTTCTTCTCGAAAGACTCTCATACTATATGAAGCAAGATCGATGATATCATTGTTCGTTCTTGGCGTATATGCTTAGGTTACACGGTCGCTGCTCGCGGATCGTCAGAAAAACGTTTGTCCCCGGTTTAATCGCACGAACCCCTTGTTTAATATGTATTAACGTACATATTTCTTACGAAATCTCTTTGCCACGACTGAAGAAGCTAATTTTCACTCGACAGCGATTCCTGTCGGAACTATGACGCCGTGATTTCGAAGCCACGTTGGCAAGCCTACATTTATGTACATTGACACGGATTTATTACTCGGCACATATTTAACGTTGTTCTAACGCGACGCCCTAAAACTTCGTGTGTCTACAAATTTTCTGAAAACATACACATGTATCTTAACTTTACGACCGAACGCTTCGCTTCGGTCAACATTACCGACTTTACTTAGTTACTTACGTTCATCGTCTTGGAAACGGCAGAAAATTTTCATAGACTCTCCCCACTTTATCTTAGGCTAGTTATTGGTTCGAATCGTGACACTTTCGAAACTGATGATTTCGTGTAAAATATGAGTAATATACAGGTTTTGCCAGAGCCTTTTTTTTTTACGAACGATGTTAGCATTTTCTATGAATAGAAGTAAGGTTACTATGATAGAAATGTAGAAATAATATAAAATAAATAATATAATAAATTGGCTTATGGCAGTAAGTCATTTCTTTCTCGGGAACTGAATATTAATCGCATATTTATGTAACAAAATTAAGGAATTACTAAAACGTGGAGTTGATCGGCGAGGCTTCTGAGAGGTTCGAATATCGCTCTCGTCAAACAGTCTCGAGTCGAAGAGTTTGATCTGGGAACGAAGTGATTATATAGAGCGAGGAACGTTATTCTCGCGCGTTTCGTATTTTCACGTGACCTACA